CCCTTATGGGATGTTGGAGTCACAAGTGACAGCTTAACCTGCTGTGTCACAACGCTCACCCTGGAATTGGGAGTCTTTGTCTTAGATTTTATTTTTAAGCACTTGAAGGAAACCACTTTGACCTGGAATTGTGAACTGGGATGGTGGAAGCCTGGAGCCCTTTGATACCCCATCATCAAGAGGATACCCAAAGGCACTCAGAGACAAGGAACATGTTGGAGGCAAGAGCAAAGGCAAGAGAGAGGCCAAGGCACAGAAAGAGAGAGGGGACACCTGCTTACATCATTGGTTTCTTGAGCCTTTTGATATATTTTCAATCCCTGAATTTTGTGAGCTAATAAATCCGTTTTTAAAAATTTATTTATTTGAGAGGGAGAGAGAAATCTCCCATTTACTGGCTCACTCCCAAAATTTCCACATGGGCCAGAGCTGGATCAGGCCAAAGTCAGGAGCCCAGACCTCAACTAGAGTCTCCCATGTGGCTGGCTGGAACCCAAGTACTTGCGTCATCATCTGCTGCCTCCCAGGGTGCACATTAGCAGGAAGCTGGAATCAGGAGCGAAACTGGGACTTGAATGCAGTTACTCTGATACAGAATAGAGGCATCTCAAACAGCATTTTAACCACTAGAGCAAATGTCTGCCCCAGTATATTTATTTTGAATTGAACCATTTTTACTTGGGCTATCTGATGACAGAGAGAGTCTTGACAAATACAGTGGTAACTCCTTTCCTTAGATGACAGTGTTGGTTTGTCTCTCCGGTTTAGAAGGGATTAATGAACAAGGTCTTCATCTGCTCTTACTGTCATCACTGCCTTTGAGCCTTTCCAGAAGCGCCAAGGCACCCGCGTCTCTCCCCTCAGCCACGTGGCCTGCAGGGAATGGATGTCTCTCCCCTCAGCCACGTGGCCTGCAGGGAATGGATGTCTCTCCCCTCAGCCGTGTGGCCTGCAGGGAATGGATGTCGGAGAACAGATGCATTGAGAGAGGAGCAGGAAGTGCTGGCAGTGTCTGTGGCTAAGAAGAGAATTCTTCGGCAGTATAAGGTGGCTGTCTGCCCATTTGCTATTCTACCTTCTCTCACTGAAGCTAGAGGAAGACTGTGGCAGGATCTAAGTAAGGGTTTTTTGGATCGTTACAGCTCTCCCTCTTTCTTTAATGCAAAAGGCAAGGGTGTTCACAACATAGAAATTTATTTTTCAATTCAAACCATCAAAGATCCAGTTTTTCGGAATTTAATTTATGGCTCTTTTTCAGTCGATCATGGTCTTCTGGGGGCTCTTGTGAATGCTTAATTGGAAAGCAAAGAAAGATGAATGGGATGCTGTTGGTTTGCAACAGTAACAATGTGGAAATCCCCAAATACATACATTTTGCTGGTATGGGAAGGAGTCAGAGAGGACTAGAGCTTTCGCACTGCACAGGATGGCCTGAGGCAGCTGGGAGATAGCCCAGAGATCCTGGTGAAAGGTTCCAAAACAAGGAAAGGAGTGGGTGGTGCTGGAGACAAACTTAAAACAGTTTCATGACTTTGCCTGCAGCCTGCCCTGACTGGCTTAAGCTTGTTAACTAAAACATTATTCCGATTTCTTTCTCTTACCTATTTTGAACGATGACAGCATTGTTGATATGATGCATTTACAATATTTAACCACAGATGGCACCAATTAGTCATTTCATAAAGTTCAGTGTGCACCAGTCTCATCTCTTCTCTCAGTTATAAGGGGCGGGTTGCAGAAGATGGGAGTAGTAAAATATGTGTCTCTAGCCTGAAGAAAAGTTGTCAACAAGTCAGCTCTGCATTTAAGTTGAGGTGACAAGTAGGAATGATTTATTCCAACTAAAGCATTCTTGGCAGCATATGACTTTATAAAGATAATACAATTTGTTCATGTTCATATGTTCATCAGTGTCTCAACTTCTGGACTCGGCAGCTTTTCAGAGGCAAAAATTTCCCTCTTCATTATGCCCTTCCTTAACAGATGAAAATGCAAAATGTTGTAACATATCAATCTCTATAATTTATCTGCTTCTTTGACCAATAACATCAATCTAACTTTAGAGCATTGTAAAGAAGAGGATAGGATTAAATTAGGCATTGACAAGAGAGATGGAGGAAGCTATAGTGGTGTTCATGGCCTAATTACAGAAGATTTAAGAATCAAAATTGTCTATAATTATAAAGAGTCTGAAATTTAACCTAAATTCAACCTAAAAAGTTAACCTGCCACAGTTTTATGGATGCTGGTATAAGATATGAGACTCCTATGGTTAGACAAAAGCTAATTTGTGACACCCTAATAGCAGTAGCTACAACTATCAGCATTTTTTTTGCACTGGTTCCCTAACCCCAGTTCCCATGAGGTGAGGTGAAGAGGACTGCATGACACCTAAACACAAAGTGTATTGCAGGACAGGAAAGGAACTCTGTGCTTCAGGAATTCAAATATTTTCTAAGGGACAGTGCCCTTTGCTCTAAAGGGAAACACTTCTTGTATCTTCCAAAGCTATTCACTAAGCAAACATCTTTGAAAATATTGTCCATAAAAAGGAAGGGTAATCAGTCCCTTGCTTGCAAGATGTACAGGAACATGAGACGACTGGTGAAAAAAACTGCTCCTGACAATATGCACCCTCATTTCCATTCTGTACATTAGTTTCCCAAGACTGTCATAACAGATCCTCACAGACTGTGTGGGTTAAAACAACGTAAACTCATTTTTATGCAGTTCTGGAGGCACGGAATCTGTTGGCATGGTCGCATTTCCCCACAGGCTCTGGGGAGAATCTTTCCTTTCCCCTTCCAGTTTTCTGGTCACCATAGGTATGTCTTGGCTATGGCTACATCACTCCAATCTCTGCCTCTCCCTTCACACAACCTTCTCTTTTCTCCTGTATCCCACTTCCACGTGTTTCTTATAAGAACACTATTTATTAGATTTAGAGCCTACCCAGATAATGCAGGATGATCTCATCTTAAGATCCTTAATCAATCTGAAAAGACCCTTTCTTTCTAAATGAGGTCATAGTCACCAGATCTGGGAGTTAATACCCAGTAAAATTTCTCATGAATACCTGACTACATCAGCCACACTGATTAATCTGATTGACAAAGGTTAAAAACAAATCCATTCAAACTGTCCCCATTAGACTTTAATTAAAACTACTATTAACAAGACTCTAAGCACCAAAACGAGGCCAATTTGCAGTATTGAACTCAATCATGTGCACTTCCGCAGAGTTCCAGGCTCAAGTTGAAACACATCCTATAAAGAATAAGGGACAGCCTTGGAACTCCAGGTGGCTTTCTCTTTCGGTTTTGACCTTTCCACTTGGCTGCAGGCATTACTCCAGATAGAGGAGGATGTAACAGCAATTTCACAAGGAGGAAGTCTTGGGCGATTTCTATCATCTACAACAATCCTAGCCAGTGGATTGAAGTTATCTGAATGGCCCCCCGGGCTGAAATTTTGTTTCCTTCAACATCCAAAACTCTTTTATGACCACACCTAATGTGCATGCCACTGTGGTTCCAGAAGGAAGGCAGGTTAATGCATGGGGTTCACAGAAAAATCAGTTTCTTGCTTCTGTACTGCAAAAGAAATACTCAGCAAGGTGAAGAGGTAACTGACAGAATGGGAGAAATTATTTGCAAACTATGCAACTGGTAAAGGATTGATAACCAGAATTTATAAAGAAATCAAGAAACTCAACAACAACAAAACAAACAATGCAGTTAAGAAATGGGCAAAAGACTAAAACAGACATTTTTCACAAGAGGAAATCCAAATGGCTGACTGACACATGAAAAAATGCTCAGGATCACTAGCAGTCAGGGAAATGCAGATCAAAACTACAATGAGGTTTCACCTCACCCCCACGAGAATGCCTTTCGTACAGAAATCAACAAACAACAAATGCTGGCAAGGAAGTAGGGGAAAAGGTACCCTAATCCACTGTTGGTGGGAATGTAAACTGGTAAAGCCACTATGTAAGACTGACAGAGAGGCCAGCGCACTATGTAAGACAGACAGAGAGGCCAGCACCGCGGCTCAATAGACTAATCCTCCACCTAGCGGCGCTGGCACACGGGGTTCTAGTCCTGGTCGGGGTGCCGGATTCTGTCCCGGTTGCTCCTCTTCCAGTCCAGCTCTCTGCTGTGGCCCAGGAATGCAGTGGAGGATGGCCCAGGTGCTTGGGCCCTGCACCCGCATGGGAGACCAGGAGGAAGTACCCGGCTCCTGGCTTCAGATCGGCACAGCGCGCCGGCCGTAGCGGCCACTTAGGGGGTGAACCAATGGAAGGAAGACCTTTCTCTCTGTCTCTCTCTCTCACTGTCTAACTCTGCCTGTCAAAAGAAAGAAAGAAAGAAAGAAAGAAAGAAAGAAAGAAAGAAAGAAAGAAAGAAAGAAAGAAAGAGAGAGAGAAAGAGAAAGAAAGAGAAAGAGAGAAAGAGAAAGAAAGAGAAAGAGAGAGAGAGAGAGAGAAAGAAAGAAACAGAGAAAGAGAGAAAGGAAGAAAGAAAATAGAGCTTAGTAAAAAATAAGAATGGGAATAGAAGAGGGAAGAGGAGGAAGGGTGGGAGAGTGGGTGGGAGGGTGGGTACGGTGGGAAGAATCACCATGTTCCTAAAGTTGTAATTATGAAATGGATGAAGTTTGTATTCCTTAAATAAAAGGTTTCTGGGGGGAAAATTACAGTTTCTTTCTTTTTTCCTTAAAACCCTTTTACAAAATACACTGGATAGTAGCAAGGGAAAGAAGGTAAGATTTGTGGAAAACTTTATAAGCAGTTTGGTACTGCAGCACAGGATAAAGCAGGGGTGGTTCAAAATGAGGCCAGCACTATAAATGGCTGCAATGATTATTCAATACGGCTGATTTCAAAATGCAAGATCATGGAGCATTTTAAATGTCATCTTGTTTATGATTCTGAGATGTCCTCTGACTTGGCACTTATTTCTTCATCCTTCATCTATAATTATATTGCAGGGATTCCTAAAAAATGATAGTTAGATGCCACAGTGTAGGTAAAAATGCCCTGAATTCATGTTGCCAAGCCCCAAAGCCTTGTCCATGCTTGTCAAGGAGGGGCTAACCTTCTCTCTATTCATACAACACATATAATTTTTGAGATGCACAAAGTGCTGGAGAAAGAAATGATTGTTTAGAACTGTTGGTGTTTCTGCAGTGAGATTTACATCAGTTTGGAGACCACAGGTTGACAATGCCTCAAATGTGTTCTGTTGATGGACTTGTAGGCATTAGGGTTTTCAACAGGAGTAGAACAATCATGTCTAGTGCTTGTTTTTTGAGATTGACTTCCCTTTTTGTCCACACCAGTAGCTGGTTGTCATTTATTGGCTCCATGGGATGACTAAGTGATGCCTATAAGAATGGAAGTGTGAAAGACATCCAGAGGTGCTGTCAAGTCTGTTGCATGGGATGGCAATGCCTGGGGCTATCCCCTGCTACTTTCAGTATACTTCCTGATAAGGTTAAGTGGAATGGAGATCAAATCCTGATCAGAATTGGCTGGAGGTGAGGTGGAAGGTCCAGAAGTCGGTTAAATGTAAAGCTGTTAATGCACTAGGACATTTGTGGGTGAGATTTTAGAGTGGGGCTGGCGCTGTGGAATAGCAGGTAAAGCTGCAGCCTGCAGTGCCAGCATCCCATATGGGTGCCGGTTCGAGTCCCAGCTGCTCCACTTCTGATCTGGCTCCCTGCTATGGCCTGGGAAAGCAGTAGAAGATGGCCCAAGTCCTTGGACTCCTGCACCAATGTGGAAGACCTTGAAGAGGCTCCTACCTCCTGGCTTCAGATGGGCCCGGCCGTTGTGTCTATTTGGGGAGTGAACTAGAAGATGGAACACTATTCTCTTTCTCTCTCTCTCTCTTTCTCTCTCTCTCTGCCTCTGCCTCTCTGTAACTCTGCCTTTCAAATAAATAAATAAATCTTTAACAAAAAAGATTTTAGAGTGGTTAAAAAATAATCATGAATGTTCTTCCCTCCTCATACTTTTTCTGAAGTGCGATATTCCTTTTACATGTCCCACCACCACTAAAATCATATGTCCATTCTAGTAGTTACAACTTCTTTCTAGTTATCTCTTACTTGCACCCAGACTCTGTCTAGATATGTTAGGTGCAAGTGACAGAAAAGCATTTTTATAGAGCTTATTGAGACCCATTATTTCCTCCATTTAGACCCAAGTGGGCCAGCACAGGGAGATTCAGTGAACAATGGGCTCTGTGATCCTTATCCTGGCCATCCAGGACATGTCAATTCAATAATGGAAAACAGAATTTCCATTTTAGACAGGTTTTCACCAAGAGAGTATACAAGCCAGGACTGCTTAGGGCTGCTCTCAGAGAAAAGACAGACACATTTTTGCAAAATAAACAAACAAAAATTTCCCTTCATTTTTATCAAGATAAAAACTAGGAAACATCTGAGCAAAGTCCATCACTTTCTGGGGACAGCCATATCGTGTGACCAAATTGTCTTAGACACATATGGAAACCTAGACAAAGTTAGGGAGGTTGAGTCACAAATGTTTTTGAGTGCATTTTTGAAGAGGCCATTCCAATGGTCAGTATCAAATGCCTGTGGATTGCATGACTCACAGAAGAACTGTTGAATGCCTTGGCTATTAGTGCTTTGTTGACCAGCTTTTGTGATAAAAGGTGCACCATTGTCAGACCGCAAGTCATCCAGAAAGCCAAAAGCTCTTCACAGACAAGTTTGAAAGGCTGCATTGATGTGGCTAGAGTCAGCTGTTCAGATTTCAATAGCAAATCTGGAACCTTAAAAAGTGTCAACAATGATGAGCATCATCAAGAGCCTCTGGAAAGGGTCAAAGGTTCAGTTTACCCCATCTGCTAGGAGTTTACAAGAGCAACACTTCATGCAATGTGGCCTCCAGCACAGCAAGACAAATGGGCCAACTATGACAGGGTCACAAGTCTGGCATATAGTGGTAGCCTCTCCATCAGAAACAGAGTCCTTTACTTTGTGCCAAAGCTATGGTGGTGGTCTCAGACATGTGTTTCCATGTCCACTATGATGATGGATTGAGGCAGCATTGTTGGCATTCTAGGTGGTACAGACTCAGTGGGCAGCTTGATTCCAGTTGGTCTCAGACAAGGAAAGGTCCCTTAATGTGGATACCTATGTAAATGATACAGGTAGTTCAATCAGCAGCCACAATTCGTTTCTAATATTCACAGTTCATAGCCTCCAAATTAGTTGTCTTTATAGTTTTCAAAGTGGCATGTAGGCCACTAACAATGGCTTGAGAGTAAGTAAAAATTTAACTTGGTGTTTCCACCAAGATAAGTACTGACATTGAGCATAGTAGGTTAAGCATCTGCCTGCAGTGCTGACATCCCATATAGGTGCCAGTCCAAGACCCAGCTGCTCCACTTCCAATCCAGCTTCCTGCTGATAGCCTGGGAAAGCAGCAGAGGATGGCCCAAGTCTTTGGGCCTCTGTACCCATGTGGGAGACCCAGAAGAAGCTCCTGGCTCCTGGCTTTGGCCTGGTCCAGCTCTGATCATTGTGGCTATTTGGGGAGTGAACCAGTGGATGGAAGACCTCTCTGTTTCTCCCTCTCTCTCTGTAACTCTGCCTCTCGAGTAAATAAATGAATCTTAAAAAAAAAAAAAAACCTGTGAGCCTCCAGTTCCTATTATCCTTTTTCATTGGACATATAAAACTGTGTTGTTGACGTATTACATCTTACGAAATCCCTGTTTAAATTATTAATTTTTTATTTGTGAGGCAAAGAGAAAGAGAGAGATGCAGATATGAAGAGAGAGAGAGAGAGAGAGGCAGACAGACAAATTGACAGATGGAGAGTGCCTGTCTGCTGGTTGACTAGAAATGCCCACAATGGCTGGGGGCTAGAATGAAAACCAAAATCAGCAACGGGAATTCAATCCAGGTCTCCCGTGTAGGTGGCAGGTACCCAACTACGAGTCAGCACCTGTTGCCACAGGGTTTGCACAGGCAGCAGTCTGGAATTGAGAGCCAGAGCTGGGTAACAAACCCAGGTGCTCCAATATGGGATGCAATCTTCTTAACTGCTAGGCCAAACTCCTGCCCTGACTTTAAATTCTTAATCAGGGCTTTTCTCCCTCTGAGATTCTATACTGTTTCTGTTGGACCTCCCAGGAGCGGACAGGGAGGGAGACTGAGGAGCAGTGTATAGCTTCCACTAGCACATCTTTAAATGTTACTCTTATCAACTAGGAAAATTACCTGTGGACATTATGTGTTGCTGTGGATTCGTTCTGAGAGGAGGAGCGCAGTGGGGGCAAGAGGCACGGAGTCACCACACAGACCCCAGGAGTCGGGTGAAAGCGGGCCAGAGGCGAGCAGCCCGCAGACTCGTTTATTTCAGTTGGTAGAGCAGCTTAAATAGCCAAGGAAGCCAATCTGGTCAAGGGGCAGTCTATGCCCTAACCAATCACAGCCTGTTGCCAGGCAGTTTCTGAAGCCATCCAATCACAGCCTGTTGCCAGGCAGGCTCCATTGCCATGTGGTTTCTGAAGCCATCCAATCACAGCCTGTTGCCAAGCAGGCTCCGTTGTCATGTGGTTTCCGAAGCCATCCAGTCAAAACCTGTTGCCAGCGGCCATTTTGGCATGGCCTTCTCATTCCACCACAGTTATGAATATTTATAACAAAAGCAGGTAAAACATCAATAGCAATTTCATGTTCAACTATGGAATCCACAAAAAATGTACATGATATTTGACTAAAGGGTCCTGGCAGAAGACCACATTAGATTCTCTTTCCTACTGCAAACTTTCCCAAAATTCCATCAGTTGAATTGAGAACCAACTCTCCCCATTGGATCAGCGAGGATATTGACTTGGGCAATCATCTCCAGCAGAGCTGTAAAATTGTATGTCGCTGTCTCTTTCTGGCATTCAAGATGTCCAAGTGAGGATGTGGCAGGTCCGCGGGTATGAAATGCCAGATTTCCCTGGGTCTTCCAGTAGATGTGATGATCAACTGTGCTAAAACATAGGAGCCAAAAATCTGTATATCATGTCTGTGAAGGGGACCAAGGGATGGCTGAGCAGACTTCCTGCCACTGGTGTAGGTAACAGGGTTGATGGCCTCGGACAAGAAAGGCAAGCCAGGCCGGTGCCACGCCTCAACAGGCTAATCCTCCACCTTGTGGCGCCGGCACACTGGGTTCTAGTCTCGGTCGGGGCGCCGGATTCTGTCCCAGTTGCTCCTCTTCCAGGCCAGCTTTCTGCTGTGGCCCGGAAGTGCAGTGGAGGATGGCCCAAGTGCTTGGGCCCTGCACCCCATGGGAGACCAGGAGAAACACCTGGCTCCTGCCTTCGGATCAGCGCAGTGCATCAGCCGCAGCGCGCCGGCCGCGTCAGCCATTGGAGGGTGAACCAATGGCGAAGGAAGACCTTTTTCTCTGTCTCTCTCTCTCACTGTCCACTCTGCCTGTCACTGCTTGGTTATCTGCAAAAAAAAAAAAAAAAAAAAAAGGCATGCCAGAGTTCAGAAAGAAGGTACATCTAGCAGTGGTATTTCGACAGCAATCTTTTCAGAGAAAAGAGCATGTTTCTATATTTTGAAGATAATGCAGGGGTCATAGCAAACAATCAATGTGAGCTGAAAGGTTCTGCCATCACTGAACCAGCTGCAGAGGAGTGTGCAGACTTGTGGCCCAAGATTGCATCCAACACAGGCAGCATTGCATGATCCTCCAGTGTATTTGAAAAAAGATAAATAACCCATTAAAAGTATTTGCTCCCCCCAAAAAAGTTGTATGTCCCCTCTTCCTGCTAAATATCCAGGATGCGTGGGTGGATAAGTATGGTTTCTGATACCCCTTATGGACAGGGAGAACTCAGCCTCACCTCTGTTTTTCCTCTTAACAGAGTTTAGGTAGGGTAGAAGAAAAGGGAAGAATCAGACATGAAGGTAGAGAGTAGCTCTAGCAACTAAAAAGGCTTTGATTCAGTTTCAACAGTATGGCTCACTGCTAAGCCAATGCATTACCATTGTTTTGGGTCCCCCAAATGCTCTATGTGGGGACTTCACAATGTTTGTGGGAAAACTGAATGAATGATGAGTTAATTTGGTAC